TAAATTTTTTATTATAATAAAAAAATTAAATATAATAATTTTTAAAAAATTTTTAACATAATAAAATTTAAATTTTAAACTAAAATCAGTAAAATGAGCAGATCAAAAATTTCTCATTGTCCTTAGCAATTATAAAACATTTATTAAAAGTGCCGGCTCCAAATCAAATCAAACCCACCCTACTTTTTGGTTGTATATCTATTATGGGTTTAATAATTATAAGAATTTAAATTAGAGTTCAAATCAAAATTTTTAATTATAATTTTTAAAATTTAAATTTTTTTTTTAGAGAAAAACACTAATCATCGTACCTTTGCCGACGTGATTTTCATTAATTGTTAGTGTGGCTACGTTGATCTTTCTTTTAACTTCATTCGATTACCGTGCACGTGAACTCTTCCTACAAATATCAAAAATAGTAATAAATAGTGTGTTGGAAATTAATTCAAAAAAGTGATAAACTCACAAAATGATACTTGAATTTTATTGAAATATTGTTCTAAATAAAGAGAGCACACTCTTACAACTCTCAAATATTTTTCCTCGGCAAACACTCTCACACACAGACAAAGCTATACATGCTTTGTTCATCACCCTCTAGAAGCTTTTTGCTTCTTTCTTCACCGAGAATTTCTTCATGGGTAGTTATAGTACAGCCAAGAGCATCTACCATGTTATAATTAATATGCCAATTATGAATTTAGAATTTGAGTGTAAAAATATTATCTAATATAATGCTATTTATTGTGTTAAATTTGTCATATTCTATATTTTGTGACAAATTTTTCACCAAGTATAGCATATAATAAATTTGATATTTGATTGTTATTGGTTGAAATATTTACATTTTTATGTAATCATTAGAACTTTTGTATTTTCAAACTATTTTAAAAATAAAAGTTTACTTTTACAACTTTAAAGCTTATAATTATGAAAAAAGTAAAATTAACATATCAAATAGCATTATCAATTGAACACAACTAAAAATAATATATTATATCATACTTTTAATGTTAAATATACAATTAATATTTACATTTGATCTTATACCAAACAATATTTTAATTAAGTAAATTCACGAACCACACAATAGACAAAGCTTGGTTGCCACATACGCCACGTAGTCAAAAAACTTATTTCTCATCATTTCCCGTCACGTGAATGCAATGTATATAGTTTAAAATAATATAAGTTACCGTTCATTTTATAGATTTAAGTTTTCAATTCAAGCTAAAATGTAATATTTTTTGAGAGTTTTTAACTGTAAAAATTTAAAACTGAAAACTCAAATCGTGAAATGAACGAGACCTAAAGTTTCTATCAACTTGGGCCGTGTTGGGTCGTAAAACAGGTTTATAATTCAACAAAGTGCTAAATTATAATTAGAATATTTTCAAGATCTCCTTATAAATACTCACCCATCATTTATAGCTACATATATATTTTTCCACCTGTTGATACCAAGCGGCATGGCCAGCCCACCAGTCTTATTCTCTGCCGTGGGGTTGAGCCCCAAGGACCGCCAGGCTATTATTGTTGAAGCACCCACTGTTAGAAACAAAGTTACGCATTTACTCAAAGATGGCTTAACTGGTTTCATGCAGTCCCTAATTCTCAACCACCATCACACTAAAGAACCATTTTACGTGCTTGATTTGGGTGTCGTCGACAACCTTATGGACAACTGGACCCGGTTTCTTCCCATGATTCGACCTTTCTACGCCGTCAAATGCAATTCCGACCCGGCCTTACTCGCTGCCATGGCCACACTTGACATGGGTTTCGACTGCGCCAGCCAGGCCGAAATCGAATCCATTTTGGCCCTTGGAGTTTCACCCGGTCTGATCATATTCGCCAACCCTTGTAAACTCGATTCTCATATTAGATACGCAGCCAGTGTGCGCGTTAACCTAACGACATTTGATTCCGGAACAGAAGTCGAAAAGATCCGAGAATTTCACCCCAAATGTTCTCTTCTTATCCGGATCAAACCTCCGGATGACGGCGGATCAATGTGGCCGTTGGATTCCAAGTTCGGCGCGCTACCGGAGGAAGTTGAACCGCTACTTCAAGCGGCTAAGGCGGCTCAGCTCCCCGTGATCGGCGTGTCATTCCATATCGGAAGCCGAGCCGCCTGCTCGCGTGCCTACGCTGTCGCCATTGAGGCCGCCAAGAAAGTGTTCGAGGCTGCAGCTCAGCTCGGGATGCCGCCGATGAGAGTATTGGACATCGGCGGCGGCTTCACGGCTGGAATACAATTTGAAGAAGCGGCTTCAACCATAAGAACC